GTCGATCGACAAGGCCTCAACTTTTCAGGCCCTCCCGAGCCCGAAATCAACTCCGTACAAATCAACCCTGGCAGACCCGAACACAGAGAACATCCGTTTTCCCCTACTGGACGTTATTTCGTTCACAATATTCTCCAACCAACCCATGATTCTATTTGTACCATTCAACTTGTTCTTGATCTCGTCTGCTATGGCCCGGGCCGCCACAAAAAGCCCGCCTGGCCCGACCTACTCATCGTGCCGGACCTTCGCAAGCCCACCCGATAAGCAGTTGCCAAAGTAGCTCCCGGGTAGTGGCGGGCTCAAACGGGCCCGAATATCGGCTGCGAACAAGAAAAAATCCATCTCATCATCATCGCAAACTCGTTTCTCCTCATTTTCGTCGTCCCAATTGAAAGATATTTTATTTTGGCATTAGTTCGAAGGTTCGAACAAGCACCTGGAACCACAGAAACAGGGAAGATCTTTATTTAATTTATTTCCTTAATTAACTTTATTTCTTATGCCATAAATATAAGATATTGTGGATCTTATTATGGTACTTTATTTTACAGAAAATCGGACGTGTAGAAGATAAGGAAGGAAGAGTCATGCATGGTAAGGAGATCAAGGAGAGAGAAGAAGAAGATATACTTACCTTATCTCATACAAGGAAGGAAATCATGTTGGAGTCCTATGCCTTGTAGAAGACTCCAACCCTAATGAAGCCGTATAAATGCCCTAGAGAAAGATCATGTTGCGGCTGCTGCTGTGAGAGATTTTTAGACCAACATTTGATCTTTATATTTTTCTATTCGGTTTTGTATACAGTTCAGTACGTGAGTTCTTACACACTCAAGGATTGAAGCTGTTTTTTGTTTAGTATTGTGTGTTATTCTGGAACCTTTGTTTTCTTAGTACACTTAGGGAGTAAGTGGTTGCAAAAAAGTCCACGGGACGTGGCCAGAGGATTAGTTGATAGGATCGTGGATAGTGTTGGCTAGACTAGAAGGGAGTTCGAGTCTTGTAAGACCAAGCTATGTCCTTGAACAGTTTATCAATGAAAGAGCTCTGAGGGGAAGTGGGACGCTTCCCTGAAGAGTTTTTATAATCTTCGGTTTATTGCTTCCGCATTTTACAAGTTCGTACAATATTCGCGCACTCCGTGTAAATTTATGCATTTCACCAAATGAGCGATTTCGCGAGGCACGTCCACACGTGAGCCGAGGCCGCCACGAATGATGACGGGCGGTCGAGCCCCATAAATCCCAAATTCGCCACCACCGAGTCCTTGAGCTTCTCGATTCGGGCCCGGTCAAGAATGTACGCTTTCGAGCCTTATATGCTATCATGGCTACTGTTGACACTACTCGTCATAAAATAATCATTCAATGCTCCACCACTCAAGAAGCATGGAAGATTTTGGAGAGACAGTTTGAAGGTACAAACGCGGTTAAAACGTCAAAGCTCCAAAGAGTCTCAACTGAGCTCGATGAGATCCGTATGAGGGAAGATGAAACCATTGATATGTACTATGCTCGCTTATGTGATCTTGTGAATCAAAGTGCGATGCTTGGTGAACCTGTTTCAGAAGCTAGACAAGTTCAGAAGTTAATGAGAACATTACCGGACAGGTTCGGAATCAAGATTACAGCCCTAGAAAGTTTCCAAAGAATTCAGAAACTCGGTATTGATGACCTATTGGGCGAGCTTCGCACTTTTGAAATCAATCATGGTTTTGACTCAATGAGGTTGAGCAAAGAAAAAGGCCTAGCTCTAAAGGCCAAGGTTCGTACTACAACTACAGAAGACGAAGAATCCGATGAAGAATCCTTTGATGCTGATGAAATTACAAAGGCTCTGACTGTACTATCTAAGAACGCTTCGAAACTGAAAAGATTTCAGAAGAAACGGTTTCAGGGTAACAAGCCATTTGAAAGTGGTAGGAACCAGATTCAGCAATTTGGAGAGAAACGTTCTGGATTCAAACAGAGCAAGGTTCAGAATACGAACCATGGAGTTGAAAAAGATCAGTGTCGTGAGTGCAAAGGATTCGGGCATTTTCAGAAAGAATGTCCAAACTTCATAAGGAAGAACAAAACGTTCAAAGCTACATGGTCTGACTGTAGTGATGATGAAGACGAGGAAGAACCAGAGAAGACTGAGAACTCCTATTACTTAAATAACTCTGCTAAATGTCCTCTTAATGAATTTAACTGTTTTACTTCCCCTGTTCATCTGACTGATGTGGAATCTGATGCAGGTTCGTATGCCAAAAATCTGAGTGAGGTGGACTCTGATGAATTCTCGGACCCAGCTGCTGAGAACCTTGTGCTTCACAAGTATGCTATTGAAAAATGTCTTAAGTCAAGAGACATCATCAACAAGCACCAAGCTCAGAAACAGAAAATGAAAGCTATGGAGCATCGATACACTGAACGTGAAAAAGAGATCACCTACCTCAGGGAAGAACTTCAAAAGATGAGAGTATTGACTGTTGACCTAAATGAGAAACTCATCAAGTCAGATCTTCACATTGGGAAGCAGGACAAGGACCTAGATAGTTTCTTTGCGAAGCTTGCTTTGGTTGAGCATGGGGATAAGCTCAACAAACAGGCAAGTGATGAACAAAATTTCACTATTGAATCTTTGCGTAATGAGTTGTTTGCCTTGCAGAATCTTGCTGGTGAAAGAGAAACTGAAATTGTGGTGCTGAAGGAGGAACTCAGTCGAGTAATGGGTGAACATACAACTCTACGGAGCCACTGTGTCACTCTGGAAGAACGACTCAGCAAAAGTGAGGAAATTGTTAGACTCATCAACAAGCCCAAGTCCTCATATGCTGAGATTCAGAAGCTGAGTCAACAATTTGGTTCATCTACCCACAGTAAGAACGTTCACAATCAAAAACTCAATGGTAAGATCGGTGAACCAAGTTCCTCGCTTAGTAAAGCTAAACTAACCTTTGTTAAAGAAGGATACTCCATGGACTCTAAGAATGGTAAGCAAAACTCACCTCAAGTCCATCATAAAAATTATGGTAAGAACTTTGTACCTGTTTGTCACTATTGTGGGATTCGTGGTCACATTCGACCCAAGTGCTATAGAATGCATAATGATATTTATATAGGTAAAATCAATGACTGGAGCCCACTTGGTGTTCCCTTGAAGGCACCCAAACTGAAAATTGATATTGAAAATCATGAACAAAGAAAGATTTGGGTTCCCAAAGGGAGTAAGAACGTGGTTTGTCTGTCCTCTTTACTGGCCTTGAAACCCACATCTAACTCGGACTGGTATTTTGATAGTGGTTGTTCTCGTCATATGACAGGTTTGAAGTCCAATTTAACCAATATTATGCCTGTTTCCTCTAGTTCAGTAACCTTCGGTGATGGATCAAAGAATAAGGTTCTTGGAATAGGATGCTTAAATGTTCCTGGTTTGCCAAGACTTAAAAATGTTCTTTTGGTTCAAAACTTAAAAGCCAATCTTCTGAGTATTAGTCAATTGTGTGACCAGGGTCTGTGTGTGAATTTTACTAAGACTCAATGTCACGTGTCTGATCAAGAAGATAAACATGTTCTTACTGGTACTAGGTCTAGGGATAATTGCTATCTTGTTGAACTAGACTTAAAATGTAACAAAACCAGTATTGACCTGACTGAAATATGGCATCAAAAACTTGGTCACATTAACTATCCTCATCTGATTGAACTCTCTTCTACAGGGGCTGTTCGAGGATTACCAAAACTGAAGAAGGAAGAACCACGAGTTTGTGGGTCATGTCAAATGGGCAAGCAGAAAAGGGCGTCTCATAAGAGATTGACAGAGGTCAGTACGAACCGGATAATGGAACTAATGCACATGGACCTGATGGGACCAATTCAGGTCGAAAGCTACAGTGGTAAGAAGTACATTCTGGTCTGTGTGGATGATTTTTCTAGATTCTCTTGGGTTGATTTTCTTAAAGACAAGTCTGAAGCCCTTGATGCCTTCAAAAAACTTGTGTTGAAACTTGAAAATGAAAAACAAGCTAACCTTGTTGCAATCAGAAGTGACCATGGTAAGGAATTTGAGAATCGTGGTTTTGAGTCATTTGTGAATCACGTGGTATATTTCACCAGTTTTCTTCTCCTATCACTCCACAGCAGAATGGGGTTGTGGAGCGTAAGAACAGGACTCTTCAGGAAATGGCAAGAGTAATGCTGGTTTCACAGGGCATGTCTTTGAGATGGTGGGCAGAGGCAGTGAACACGGCATGTCATATAATTAACCGTGTGTATTGCAGGAAAGGAACCGGACTAACTTCATATGAAATGTGGAAAGGTAAAGCACCGAATGTGAAATATTTTCACATCTTTGGGTGTAAGTGTTATATTTACAATGACAGAGAACACCTTGGTAAGTTTGAATCCAAGAGTGATGTAGGTCGGTTCCTTGGTTACTCTGCTAATAGTCGTGCTTACCGTGTATATAATTTGCGCACTGATGTGGTTATGGAGTCTATAAATGTTGTTTTTGATGATGCTCTTGAAAGTGCTGTTGTCTCTGATGTCATCAACATAGATGTGTCCAGGGATAAAAAGATGTCTAATTCTGAAAGTGTGAATGTACTAAATGATGTTAAGCCTGAAACTCTGGAACATGATAAGACTGTGGGACCAAATGAATATGTTGTTCCCACGTCCTCTGGGAATCCAAATGAATCTCGGCGAGATCCTCCTGCCAAGATTCAGAAGGACCATCCTAAGGACCAAATCATAGGAGGAATAACTGAACGTAACACTAGAGGAGTGAAACTGGATTTTCGTAAAATTGCTGGTTTGTGTCACTTTGCTTGTTATGTGTCTAAATTGGAACCAAAAAATGCAAGAGAGGCACTGTGTGATGATTTCTGGGTTCAGGCAATGCAAGAGGAATTAGAACAGTTTGTTAGGAACGATGTGTGGGAACTTGTCCCCAGACCTTCTGATTCGAATGTCATTGAAACCAAGTGGATTTTTAAAAATAAAACGGACGAATCAGGAGAGATTACTAGGAACAAGGCTCGCCTTGTGGCTCAGGGGTACAGTCAAGAGGAGGGTGTTGACTTTGATGAGACATTTGCTCCTGTAGCGCGTCTAGAATCGGTTAGGATGTTCCTATCAATTGCATGCTTACTTGGTTTTGTGATTTATCAAATGGACGTAAAGTCTGCATTTTTTAATGGTTTTCTGAAGGAGGTTGCTTATGTTAAGCAACCTGAAGGATTTGTTGATCCGCATAACCCTGACCATGTTTATAGGTTAAAGAAGGTGTTGTACGGGCTTAAACAGGCTCCGCGAGCTTGGTACGAACGCCTGACCCAATTTCTGGTCAAAATGGGTTACTCTCGAGGGGGAGTTGATAAAACTCTGTTTGTTCGAAAGTCTAATAAAGATATTATCATTGTACAAATTTATGTAGATGATATTATCTTCGGTTCTACCTCGAAAACTTATGTGAATGAGTTTGTGAACCACATGTCGAGAGAATTTGAGATAAGTATGGTTGGAGAGATGTCCTATTTTTTGGGTTTGCAAGTAAAGCAATCCAAAGAAGGGACCTTTCTCCATCAGACCAAGTATGCCAAAAACCTTGTGAAAAAATTTGGTCTCGAAAATTCTAAGTGTCCAGCAACTCCCATGGGAAGTCATTCTAAATTGTCTAAGGATGATGCTGGAACTTCTGTAGACTCTACACTTTATAGAAGTATGATAGGAAGTCTACTTTATTTAACTGCCAGTAGACCTGATCTTTGTTTCAGTGTCGGAATGTGTGCTAGGTACCAAGCGAATCCTAAGGAATCGCACTTGAAGGCAGTCAAGCACATAATCAAGTATGTGCACGGCACATCGGATTTAGGTATCTTGTACTCACGAGACACTTCATCTAGCCTTGCAGGTTATAGTGATGCAGATTGGGCCGGGAACGTCGATGATAGACGAAGTACCTCTGGTGGTTGTTTCTACATTGGTAACAACCTCATCTCGTGGTTGAGTAAAAAACAAAATTGCGTAGCACTCTCTACAGCTGAGGCCGAATACATTTCTGCTGGAAGTTGTTGCTCCCAGCTTGTGTGGATGAAGCAAATGATGATTGAGTTTGGCCTTGAGGTAAGAACCGTGAACCTATTTTGTGATAATACCAGTGCAATCAATATCTCTAAAAATCCGGTTCAACACTCTCGAACTAAACACATAGATATTCGGTATCACTTTATTAGAGATTTAGTTGAGAATGACGTGATTATCCTTGAGTATGTTTCTACACAAAACCAGTTGGCTGACATATTCACGAAAGCTCTGGATTCTCAAAGGTTCATATCTCTAAGGAAATCCTTAGGGATCTGCTCATTCTGAATGCTTGCTTGAAGTTGCATTATATTGTATTATATTGTATATTAGTAGTACTTATATCTATTCCATTGCATGTAAGCATATAGGGTATTTTGCATTAGACATATCGTGCATTGTGCATCTTTCTCACCACTGGATTCCTAAATGAGGTTCTAACTCTTCTGAAAACTTAAGTGATGTCGACGGTCTGAAATTGATTGCGTGTTTTTACATTACCAAAGAACGTACTTATTTTCAATATTTTTTTTTTTTCAAAAAGAGCTGCCTTCTCATAAATGATCTAGAGCGATAGCTAGCACATGGCTCGTTTCCAGATGCGGGATCGACTGTGAAAAGAGCGTCTGGGACAAAAAATGTTGAGAAGGGTGTAAGCTAGTGACACACATCGCATATTACTATGTGGTGTTCTTACTCGGAGTAATAAGGTGGCCACCCACATAAAATCCGTAGTTCTGATAAAAAAAAAAAAATGTGTAGGATCCTTGCTTAAAATCGTGGTGCAAAGTAGTGGGGTTGACTTTCACTATTGCAGTGATTGTTACTAAGTGAAACGCACTATCAACAATATGGCATGTGTTCTTGAAGTTGGGGTTCGCACTACCTTGTGTATATACATATATCCGCCTAACGTATGTTTCTTGAGGAAGTTTGAACTACAAAATTGGTCTCGGGCAGTCTTCGTCAATTTTGTCTAAGTTGAGAAGGAAAAGATTTTTTGAATCCAGTGAAACATGTGTGCGATTTTTATTCCTTGATTTTATTCTCTCATTTTTAGGCATGATTGCATATGATTTCCTTATTGCATATGATCTATTTGAGTCTAAAATTTTGTTTAGTATATATGCTTAAGTATAAAATCGGATTTCTTTCCTAAATTTCGAAATAATGGGGGACGTTATTTGTGTGAGAAGTTAGTTTGTGTTTGAATTTTGATTTTTGGAGGGATTTATGATGATAAACTTCCCTTAAACCGCCCCAACTGCCTAATCTCTTTCCCTTGAACAACGGGAACTACCTTTTGCGGTTTTCCATGTCAGAACTTTATATCTCTCTCGCATCTTTTCTTTCTTCTCATTATCTCCCCAATTCTCTCTCCTTCCTTCATATCTGAAACACTTTTCTTCTCGTATTCGATTGAAACCCTAAATTTCTCGCCCTCGATTATCATCTTCTCCCTATGGTTGGTAGCAAGGACAAGTCTAAGAAGCGTCTCAAGAAACACAAGGAGAAGAGACTCAAGCGTCGTCGTCTGTCTCTTACTGCAAGCTCTCAGCGTGAGTCTTCGCCACCGGCAAAGTCGCCATTGTTGGTGATATATACTTAAGCTTTGCTTTAGTGGATATTACACTTGTTATTCCTTGATGAATGAGAATTATGTTTGGTTAAATAAGTTCCACGTTCTGTTGTTTTGCA